GCCTGGGGCAGGACTTGGCCGGTCAGAGCTGAAGGGCGAGCTCCGGGAGGGGAGGGGTGGGCGGAAATGGTTTACACCTGTCTTGGGCGACAAGCCCGCTCCCTTCCCTCTGCTCAGGGGGCCCAAGGGGCAGGGGGTGGCCCCCACAGGGCTGCTCACCTGGGGGCAGCTTGGTTGCTGGGTGTCCGGCCCCTGGCGAGTAGATCTCACCCTTGGAGCCTGGCTGGCAGACCATGTGGTTGGTGACCAGGTGGCTGTAGAGGATGTCCCTTGTGGTGGAGATGAAGCCACAGCTGTGGCAGACACCTGTGGGCCATGGCGAGTTGGTCAGGGCCCAGGGCGGAGGGCGGGCCCCACACATCCCCCGGCCCCTGTGGCGCCTACCGCTCAGCGTGTCCGTGTGCACCTTGAGGTGCCGCTCGCAGTTGGCCTTGGTGGTGAAGGCCGACAGGCAGATCAGGCACACGAAGGGCCGCTCTCCTGGAACACAGGGCGCATAAGAGCGGTGCCCGGGCCAGCTTGACCTTGGGACTCCGCCAGGGACGAGGAAGGCAACTGGGCCCAGGGCCGTGAACTGTGCCGGACGGGGGGACCCTGTGCTGAAGGCTCTTTACACCCCTCCCCCTCCTCGGCCCTTTTTCTCTCGGGACTGCAGTGGGCCCAGCCCTCAGCTGACTACCCAGATAGCCCACAGGCTGGCCTGCCTGCTCTGGGCCCCTGCGGGGGTCTTGGGTGTGCGGAGACCACACAGGTGAATCGTGGCACTGTGGGTGCTTGCATGTGGGTTTTCCGGGGCGGCCTGCAGGACTGGGTGGGGAAGCAGCCGGCATCCTGAGGACCCGCGTCCGGGGTGGGGGCTCACCGCTGTGGGGGCTCACCGCTGTGGCTGCGCATATGGATCTCCAGGGAGCTGGCGCTGGGGCAGCTCTTGCGGCACTGGGGGAAGGGGCAGACGCGTTCGTTGGGGTAGGTCTCCTTGGGCTTCTCGTCTGTAGCAGCTGCGGCCGGGGAGCCGGCGCCCTGGCGGCTGGCACAGTAGTAGAGCAGGTGCGCCTGCAGGTTGCGCTCGCTGCGGTACCAGATGCCACAGTCCTTGCAGGGGAAGACGTCTTCTGTGGGGTGGGAAGCAGGCGGGGGCAGGCTGAGGGCCAGCCGGGCAGCCAGGGCAAGGCTGTGGGCGGAGGGAGGGCCTGGCCCTGACAGACCCCACCGTCCTGCCCACCCCAGGAGCTGAGGCTTTGACCCCTCCCTGTAACCGTAAGCCTCCTGGATGGTCCTGTGACAGCCCCACTCCCTTCCGTAGATCCCAGAAGCCCTGGGCCCTGTGGGGCGTGGGGTCTGAGTGAACCCCCATGGGTCCCCTTCCAGTGGTAAGCCCCATAAGGAGACGCTTTGGCCTCATGGGGGCAGAAGGAAGAAGTGGACACCGCTGGGCGAGGCTAGCATCTATGACATACTGAGGTGACCATGTGGACCCGGGAGGCCGTGGAAGAGGAAACGTGTGTACAGATGTGCGTGCAGGTGCGCGGGAGTGCCAGGCTGCGAAGAAGACCCATGTGCACAGTCTGAGCACTCAGGTACACGATGGCTGCTGACTGGAGTTCTGAGGATGTGGGGCGTGAGACTAGGAGTGCAGAAGTTAGGAAGCCCCCATGCGCCCACACACCTGGGTGGCTCCATGTCAGCGACTGCCTGGCTGCTCAGATTTGCCAAATTCACCACACTGACCCCAAATGGGCTGCTTGTAACTGCTGAGAGTTTTGGGGGCTTGCACTCTGCTTAGGGTGGTTTTGCTAGCGGGGGAGGACTTCTCTGGCATGTTCTCAGTTTGTCTTTATAGCAGTTTAAGGAATGTTCTCTGCCCCAGAGCCCTGCCCCACTGTCTGCCCGTGGCCCCTTGGCTGAAGACACGGAGGGGGAGGGCCTGTTCAGCGTGGCCTTGGCCTTCGTGTGGAACCCAGGGGCCCTGGGATTCCTTATCTGGCTTTCAAGCCCGTTCCACTTAGAGCCCGATGTGATATCTGGTTTCTGCCTCTGCAGGTTAGTGCTGGTTTCTCACCCGGCTTCTCCCACGTTTATCCTGAGTCCGCAGTTAGCACGCAGGGGTGGCCCCTGCCCCCGCGCCCTCCCCCCTGCGGCCTGCTTGCCACCTCTCGCCTCTCGGGAGGAATTTCAGTGCCTGCCTGGGTGAGGTGGCTCTTCCTCCTGCACCTAGTTGTTCTGGCGACTTTCCTGGCTCACGTCTCCCTCCCGTGCTCTTGATTAATGTTTCTCAGGTTCCTTTTACTTGGGGGCTGCAGGCGGCTCTGCCCTGTCTCAGCTGAGGCCTTGAGCTGGGTCCCAGATCTGGGAGGCCACCGGGTGGGTTTGTTTCTGCATCTCCCAGGTTATTGTGGGGACTGTTGCTGCAGAGATGTGGGGAGAGGGGCTGTGGCCGTGCAGTTTAGAAAGGCTGCCCGCCTGCTGATGACCACAGGCCAAGTCCGGTGGCCTGTGGAGGGGCCTCCAGGCAGGTGCCTCTGCATCCCGCTTCACAGGTGAGATGGGCCCAGAGTGCTGGAGGCTCAAGAATTAAACTGGATCTGACTCTGGAATTGGTTCCTACGGCTCTCCCAGAGCAGCAGCCAAGCAGCGGCTGTGCCCTGGACCTGCAGAAGCGCTAGGGCAGGAGTTAGGAATGTCAACAAGACGTCTTGCCCTCGGTGGTGACCTTCCAAAGCAGCGTTCCCAGGACACTGCTGCCTGGGGATAAGGCATGTCAGACCCATGAGGGGGAAACCGAGGCAGAGGCTGAGCCTGGGGCACCCGCAGCTGCCCCTCAGAGATCGGGAGCTGGTCTCCGCAGGCTGTGTGGGCAAGGACCCGGCTGGAGGATTGGACCCTCCCCAGCCTACTGTCCCCACTGTCTCACTGTCTCTATCAGTGGGGCACTCCCCTGGAGTTGGGTCTCCCGGACACCCTGAGACACTACAGGGGCACCCCCTCCCCATCCTGGTGGAGTAGCACTCTGGCCTCCCATTCCCTCCGTGACTTCTCCTTCCAGGGAAGAGACGAAGGCAGATGGGGACCCACTTTGCTCCCGGCTTCTTCCAGTCACCTGTGGCCCATGTTCTCTTTTGCCCTCCTGGCTCCCTCGGGCAGTGGCTTGCCCTGCCCAGACCCAGCCTCCAACCTGGGCTTGGGTGTTGACCTGGCCGCTCTGCCCCTTCTCTCCAGTGTCACCAACCGTTGCCACCAGCACATAATGTGGGCCGTTATGTCCTGGGTACCAGGCACACAAGCCCAGCCCCCTCTGGCCAGCTGGCCCCTGCTCAGGCCTCCTCGCTGACCCTCACTGGAGCGGCCTCGGTCAGCGTCATGGCGACCTCTGCACTGTCAGGACCAGCAGTCATTTCTCTGCCGTTGGTCTCGCCACAGCCTGGATGTGGCAGACCACCTGCTGCCCTCCAGGGCCCCCTCTAACCTATCTCAACTCACTCTCTGTCCCTTGGGAGATGTCCCCTGTCCCCTGACTCCAGGGTCCACAGGCCCCAGGGCTCCCTGAAGTCTGTCATTGTCCCTCAACAGACTCTGTGACTTCTCTTGTGCATCTGGCAGGTGTCTTGAGGTCAGGACATTCAAAGAGTGGGGATCTGCTCCCCAGACTCCCATATGGGCCGACATCCCCCCAGTGGTCACACCAAAGCCGCACACTTGGCCCTGCAGGTCCCTTTGGCCCTAACCACTGGTTGTCTCCACCTACTTCAAGCTGTCTTCACATCTGACTTGCTCACAAGGGTCGCTTTTCTTCCAGTTTTGTAACTCTTCAGTCACCAAAGCTAAACCTGAGTCTTACTGTCCCCCTCCAAATGCTCTCTGGCGCAGTCCCCGTTCCCCTGGGAAGTCCCAGCTGCTGGCCGGAGCCAGACTTGCCGTGTGTCCCCTGCATGCCTTCTGCCTATCCACGGTGGCCACACGCTGTCCTTGGCCACACAGGTGCACGGGGTGCACCATCACTCTTGGCTAAGTTTTAAAAGTTTTAGCTGATACGGGGTCTTGCTGTGTTGCCCAGTCTGGCCTTGAACTCCTGGGCTCAAACGGTCCTCCTGCCTTGGCCTCCCACAGTGCTGGGATCACAGGTGTGGCTCCTGCACCTGGCTGGGGGTGAGTGACTCCTGATTCCCACAGCCACCCTCAGAGGTTCCGAGAGAGTCACTGCAAGAGTGATGTCTGTCCACTTCAGGCGTCCCCAGGGGCGGCTCTGTCTCCAGGGACATGTGGCCACGTGTAGAGAGATTTTGGTGGCATGTGCCTGAAGTCCCAGCTACTCGGGTGGCTGAGGCAGGAGGATGGCTTGAGACTAGGACTTCATGACCATCCTGGGTAGCAAAGTGAGACCTTGTCTCGAAAAACAACAGAAAACCAACAGGTGTCTTGGTTGTCACAACTTGGAGGTGGAGGTGGTGGCAGCACCTAGTGGGCCCGGGCCAAGGCTGCTGCTCACCACCCATGGTGCCCAGGAGACCTCCACTGTGGAATGACCTGGCCCCAAACACCAGGAGGGCCGAGGTGAGGGTCCCGCAGTCAGGGCTGCCCCCAGGGAAAGCACAGGCTTCTGGTGTGGTATGCAGGGCAGAGCTGAGTCTGTGCCTAAGCCCGCTTGCCTACTGGCAGGGGCTTTCCCTGTGGTGGCCCTGGGCTCTGGGGACCCTCCTGTCCCTGTGTGTTCTGAACTTGGGACCACCCACATCACCTCCTTCCCCACCTTCCCTCTCACTCTGTCGGCAGCCTGGGGCTCTTGAGCTTCCCACCCTCACCTCCCACCCTGTCCTGCCCTGCCTGCCCCTCCTTGGTTGAGCAGCCGCCCCGGGCCTGGGGAGCCCAGCACTCACTGTTGATCACTGCGGTGGCAAGGATGGAGGCCATCCCGGCCTGCTGGGGCAGGAGCTGGAGGTCGTGTGCAGGGGCTGGGCACGTGGGCTCTGCTGGCTCCTTCTTCACAGGGTGGCTGGGGGTGCTGCGGGGCTCGGCCGTGAGGAGCACGCTCAAGAGTCCCCCTGCGGGCACCGGCTTGGTGACCCTACACCAGAGCGCGTCATCTGGAGGGAGACAGGTGTCCAAACCTAGGACCTTGTGCCCCACTTCCCTGTCCCATCTTAAACGACAGGTGGAGGATGGGGTCAGGAGAGCGGCCACCCCGTGTTCACAGCTGTGGCTGGCTGGCTGCCAGGGCCATCTTGCCTCGGGGGCGAGGCTGGGTGGTCCCCTGTGGGTGCTCACAGTCTGCCTGCCTCCAGTTCTCCCTGCCCTGCGCCCATCCTAGTGGGAGGGCCCTGGGGAAGTCTCCCAGGAAAGGGATGTCATGGAGGGTGGGTGGTGGAGTAACTAGGGGAGACCATTCAGGGAAGGCAGCCAGAGGTGGGGCCCTAGAGTGGACCCTGCTCTCTGGGAAACCGTCCGAGGGCGTTCTTCCTGCTGTGGCCTGAAGGGGGCAGCCTTAGCCCACAAAGCCCAGGCTGCGCGGGGCCGGCTTGTTCACCTGGGGTGCCCGGGCTGTGCATTCTCTGCGGTGCTGGCCTCAGGCCTGAGCCGGCCCCGCCTACACACACCACAGCCCGTCCCCACCCTGTGCTGGGGCCAGGGACTCCACTGGCCAGTGGACCTGCCTAAGCCGGGAGGGCCTCTCGCTTCATCCCTGGGCGCCCAGAGGTGCAGGCTGCCCAGACGTGCCACCCTCAGTAGCAGCAGCATGGCAAGGCCCCTTGTCCTTCCTGGATGGCCACCTTGACTGTTCTGGAGCCAGCCTGACGACGTGGAGCCCTGGTCCAGTGGCACCTGCCAGCTAGCCTGGCTTTGGGGTCCCTGCTGCTGCCCTTGGTGGGTTCCCAGAGGTGCAGCCAAGGTAGGGAGGAGATACGGGGCTCACGGTGTCCCCCAGAGGGGCAGAAGCCACCCCCATTCCCCCTGCCACAGACACCTGTCGTGGCTCAGCCTGCCAGGCGAGACCTTCATACAGGGACTCGTGGTCTGGGCTGACTGGTCCCAGGGGAGTGTCTGCTTCATGCTGCAGCGCCCGGTTCCAGCAGTTCCCCGTCCCCAATCCCCGGCCCTAGCAGGCTGGTTTCCCTTTTAAGAGCCCAGCCCAGGGACAGCCAAGTGACCCCCACCTTCCGGAAGGCTTGGGACGGAGGCGCCGCGTCATACTGACCCTTCCTGTGGATCTCTGTGTTGGCCTCGGCCTCGGTCAGGGCCTGGGGCAGCGTCCTCAGCCAGCAGGCTTCGTCCACCAGCAGCAGGGTCAGGGCTGGGCTCTGGGGGGGCAGGAACACGTGGGGAGGGGTCCGTCAGCAGCCTGCCTGGGGGTGCCCGCGGGTATGTGGGGCATCCGTGACATGGATCTGCCTCCTGGCTTGGCTGCTAGGCCAAGCTGTGGACAGTCACTGGCCCAACAGCCTGCAGAGCTGTGGCATGGGCCATCTGTGCCATAGCTGGCCGGCATGGCTACACCATGCTGGGGCTGGGAGGCTTGGCAGGGAGTGGTACCTTCCAGGGTTGGGCACAGGGTTCTTGTGGAGACTGAGGCCCAGAGAGGTCAAGCAACAGGCCCCAGGTCACACAGCCAGTAAGCAGCAGAGCCTGAAGTCACACTTGTGTCTGCATATCTGTGTATCAGTGTTCTCCCCCCTGCTCGCCCACCCTGGCCCCAGGTGTGCTGGGTGTGGAACCACTGTTCCCACACGGGCTGGACCTGGTAGAGGCTCCTTCCACACAGGCCCTAGATACCTCCAGAATGACCTCTGTGGGCTGGGGCCGAGATTAGCCCAGAAGATACAGCACCTCCCTAGCAACCCTCAGGCCTCAGTGTCCCTGACAGCATGGCTCCCCTCCCTGCCACAGGGTGTAGCAGGGCCACCTGCGTTCCTGCTCGCTTCCGGGGCCAGCACATAGTGGATGCCAGGGAGCACCCACTGGACTCAGTGGGTCTGTCCCCACCCTGAGGCTGGTCAGCCCCCTTCCTGTGGGCCTGAGACACCAGCACTGTGTTGGATCAGCCCTGGCCCACCTGGCCTCACCGGCACCCTGGAAAGCAGGTAGCGCCCTCCTCTCCATCTCATGGGTGAGGAAACAGGCCTGGGAAGGGGAGGGACAGAGCTCATGCCAGTGCCTCGGGCCGGGCCGTGCTGTCGGCGGTGGCTTAGGCTAAGTCTAGAAGGAAAACACTCTGGGCTCAGCCCTCGGGGTGGCTGCCAGCCGAGCCCGTGGAGGCCGCCTCATTTCCTGTGTCCCTTGCGCCCCGGGCCCCAGCCGAATGGCACAGGAAATGTGAGGGGCCCCATCCCAGTGCAGTCTGGGACGAGGTGGGGCGGGCAGTCCGTGGCCTCGCTCTGTGGTGCTCAACACTGGTCAGCCATCAAGGGGAGAAAGTGGTGGTGGAGGAAGGGGTGACCGCCGTTGCCCCTCAGGCCTTGGTCCCTCCTGCAAGGCTGACTCAGCCTCAGCACCCTGACCCTCGGTCCTGTGCTGCTGACTGCACTGGTGGTCCCCAGGCTCAGCCACCTGGGTGCCCAATCCGGAGGCACAGCACACGCACGTGCTCCAGCACTTCCTGTAAACACACTCACTTTTTCTATACAAATAAATGCCTTTTAATCAGAAACTTCCTACATCATGACCTTTGACTGAAAAGCCAGTGTCACCTACAAATGCTGCTGTTGGCACTGGACAGGTTTGTGCAGCCCTGTGGTGAGGACGGCAGTCGGCCCAACCCTGCCATGGTAGAAGGGGCCGGGCTGGTGACAGTGCAGGGGTGTCCCCCATGGGTCTGGGGTACCTCCCCACCAGGTGCCAGCCCATGAGCTTTCCTGGCCTTTGTCAGCCACGCGTGGGACCCTGTGGGCCGCAGAGCTGGGCAGCGGGGTCCCAGCCAGGCTCGGCTTCCCTGCTGCGACCATGGGCAGGGCACGGCCAGACCCGTATGCAGGGACCCCTCTGGGCCACCCCTGCCTCTCGGCCCATCTGCAGGGCACTGAGGAATCTAGCAAGATACAGCCTTTGGGCTGGGATGCTGAGTGACTACTCAGGCAAGGTTGGGGCAGGCTGGCCAGCAGAACAGGTGACTTCCACACGGCTCAGCCACAGAACAGGTGAGCAGAGCTAAGCTGGCCCTGGCCGGGGTGGGTGCAACCCTGCTGTCCCAGTGTGAAGCCATCCCAATTCCTGGCTCAGCTTCTCTGCAGATGGGGCTCTGCCCTCTCCCACATGGCTGTTAGGGGGACGGAGGGGAGGCCGAGCCCCTGCTCACTCTGGACCCACCCCAAGCCCACCACTAGCCTTTGGGGCAGCCTCAGGGGGGTCAGTCCCATCTCCCTTGACTCAGTTTCCTCCCAGTATGTTGGGAGGCTGTGATCTGTGTGAAGCCTTTTGCCTGCCTAGCAAGTTGCCAGCCTAGCACGTTGCCAGCCTAGCAGGTTGCCAGCACAGGATGCGTATTAGCTCCAGCCCTGGCTGTTGCTTTGGGTTGGCCTGGCAGGACAAAGTGGGCAGGGGGTGCCTCCAGGCCCCAGGGGATGCCGTCCACGGGGCACATCTGGGGCAGCACATGCTGGGTGTCCACTGGGGTGAGCGGCTCCCCTGAAGAAGCTGCTTTGTGCAGGCTGGCATCGGGTGGGTGCCCCCCTTTTAAAGGACACCCCAGTGATTCCCAGGGCCACAGGGCAGGGCTCAGGAGCTGCATGCCAGCTGTGGGGCTTGGCCAGCTTGGACGGGGGCTTCTGCTGGGGCAGGCTGGGGGCGAACCCCAGGGGCAATGGGCAGGCACGTTCCTGGCACAAAGGTGGGTGACCAGCGGCTACTGTGTCCCGGCTGCGCCCAGGTCAGGCAGTCAGTGCTTGGAGAGGCTGCTGGGGCCTGGCCCTCCCCACTCTGGCCTTCCCGAGCCTCTAATGAATATTAATGAGTAGAGGAGGGTGAAAAAAATTAATCTGCTTGATCCTCCGATGGGTGCTGCGGTAACGATATGAAATCTAATTATTCGTCCCAATATTTCTAAACCCTCAAACTGAGACTGACAGCCTCCCGGTCGGTTTAATGCTTATCACTCCCAGGAGCAGCGTGTTCGCAGCATGATAAAAACACGCGCCGCAACTTTGCTGACGCTGCACAACCCCCCGATTTTTCTGTGGCAGTCCTGAGTGGAGGGAAGGCGCCATGTTCCCACCCGGCCCCGCCGAGTGTACCCCACGTTTGTGGGGCACGATGGGGCACCTGCCCTGGGGGTGCAGGTGGGGAGGGGCATGGGGAAGGAGGGCAAGGCTTACGTCTGGCACTCGCCCCCGACCCGGGAGGGAACAGGTGGGAGAACTAGGGGTGCAAGACAAGAAGCTCGGGCCGCCCTGCCACAGTCCCCCCTGCAAACACTCTCAGAGGGGCCTGCCACTCCCACTTCTGTGACCACAGGCTGGGAAGGGGTGAGGGCCTCCCTGCCAGTCTGCCCTGTCTTCAGGGGCCACCCCCAACACCTCCCAGGGGAGAGGGGAGCACAGCCTGGAGGTGGCGTGGACACAGCCAGCCCTGAGCCAGTGTCTTGCCCGGTGCCGAGTGGCAGGACCCCTGAAGCCAGCCTGGGGCCACCTGCCCACCCTGGGAGCCACTGCTGGGGCCAGGGCCAGGAGACGCTGGGGCAGGAAGCCAATTTCAGCTCCTGCTTCCCTTGCGGAGGGGCTGGCTGGGCACAGGTCTGTCTGTTGATTTTTTTCTCTGTCTCTTCTTTTTTCACCACCTCTGATCAGGCCTGCAGCAGACCTTCCTGACCCTGCTCTGCCTGTGGGCAGTGGGGAGCAAGTGGGGAAGGGGCCAATTTTTTTCTTTTTTTGAGACGAAATCTTGCTCTTGTCCCCAGGCTGGAGTGCAATGGCGCGATCTTGGCTCACTGCAACCTCCACCTCCCGGGTTCAAGCGATTCTCCTGCCTCAGCCTCCCAAATAGCTGGGATTACAGGCACCCACCACCACACCCAGCTAATTTTTGTAGTTTAAGTAGACACAGGGTTTCATCATGTTGGCCAGGCTGGTCTCGAACTCCTGACCTCAGGTGATCCGCCCGCCTTGGCCTCCCAAAGTGCTGGGATTACAGGTGTGAGCCACTGCGCCTGGCCTTGGGAGGGGGCCTATTTTTAACTTCCCAACCCGACCCTTCTGCCAAGACTCTCGGAGATGTGGGCAATGGCTCCCAGGGTGCCCCAGGCTCAGCACCCATCCTGGTCAGGCAGGTGTATCCAGGGTCCGCGGAGGACCCTAGAGTCCACCCTGCTTGCCGCCCCTCAGGGTTGCCTTGTCCCTCCTCCGGGCCCTGGCCGGCCCCACCAGCGGCGGCCACTTTAAATTCCCCGGGTGGACCTGAGAATACTCCTTGTTTCCTCCAACAAAGAGGTCAGTGTCTCGATTCTGCGGTGGCACCGATAGCCATCGGAAACCCTATCTGCGCCGCATCCGCTGTGACAACTTTATCTGAGGCCGTTCCCAAACCTCGCTGTGCAGCTTGCAGGGCTGCTGAGGTGGCCCGGCCCAGGGAGCCAAACAGCTGGTCCTGCAGAAGCCCCTGCTGATGTCCTGCTCGGCCATCCCCAGGTCACTGCGGGGTAGCAGACCAGCAGCGGGTTCACGGGAGAGTGGGGGCTGAGGCTGAGGCTGCTAAGCCCATCCTGAGAAGTCCTCCACCTCCCCATCACCTTACTAGAGACACCAGCTGGCCCCTCAGTGCCTCCGTCTCCCTGGACCATGCAAGAAGTACATTTCCCAGGTGAGGGCCTGAGGCCTGCACGACTAAAGCCAGGTCTGTGAGACCCCTGCCACCTCGCTGCTGCCACTTCATCCACTCAGTCACTCAGTCACTCACTCACTCCCTTGCTCCCTCCCTCCCTTATCCGACAGGCAGGGCTTGTGCATCAGCTGTTGCCAGGTGTGGGGAACACAGTGAACAGAACTGCATCTCCCGTGGATGCTGGAGTGTGGAGCTGGCCAGAAACAGCAGGTAGGTGCCTGGAGGGGGCGGTGACAGAGACACAGGACAGGCTGAGACAGGAAGTGGGGGTGGCTGTGCCAGGATGTTGGCTGAGGCCTGGAGGGTGAGGAAGGGAGGGTGTGGATATGAGGGGGCCAAGGAACAGCATGGGGAGGGAAGAGAGAGGAGGGAACAGCACAGGGGAGGGTACAGCACGGGGTTGGGGAACAGCACGGGGGAGGGAACAGCACGGGGTGGAA